GAGAGAGAGAGAGAGAGAGAGAGAGAGAGAGAGAGAGAGAAAACGCACACACGGCCAGCCCACGGATGGTTGCAAAGGGACCACACGGCTTCACGACCCAACCCAACATAGCCATTGAAACAAGGCAGCCGCCGACAGACTAGATTCGAGGAAGCGCATCTCGAGAACCGGTTCTTCTGTGACCGCCGGTTGGAGCTACGGTGGCTAAAGGGATCCGCACTTAGGTGCTGCCTTGAGAAGACCAAAGGCGGAACGTCAACAAAAACAACACGACTTCGAGGAGGGCGCAGAAGCAGTCGCTCACCTGCCAGGCTCTCCCCGGACCACCTTCGCACCGTCAAATTTGACCATGCCCGGCCCGCCTCCCCCCAGCTTCTTTACCATCTTCGGCGAAATGTAGTCTACGGGGGTGCTTGCTGACTGCAACGAGAATCATAGCGGAACACATCGCCGAAGGGTGGTGTGAGCCATTTCCCGGCCGGTGCCTCAGGAACAATAGGGGAGTGGCAAGAGCAACAGGGATGTGATTTACTTGGACAACAGGATTGATGACTCAAGTGGTACAGCGAACAGACATTACGACTTCGTCATTGGAACCCGTAACGAGCAGCAGCTTGACAGGATGCTCCCCAATAAGCGATCCCGATACAAGCAGCAGCTTGACAAGGTGCTTTCCGTGGCGGATGTTTCGGTGGTAAACTCTACTACATACCAAGGTTTCAAGCGATCCAGCTAGCCGCCCCGACAATCAATGAAACATATACATGATCCGTCCCCCTACGAAACCAAAAGCCCCAAACGTGGCAAACAGAACCTCGCAAGAGCCATTGCCCGCACAACCCACACCACACACAAACCTGCCGAGCTTTGGAGAAGAAAGCAGCAACATCCGCGGCGAAGGCTAGGTCATCGTCCTCCACCTCTTGCCCGGGGTCCAGTCTGAGCAGCACGTGCGCCCCCGCCACGCCTCTCGCGTGCAGCCACAGCTCGTGGGCCCTCGCCAGCGAAAACGTGATTCGCTCGTTTTGCTGGTTGTTCCTCCTACACAGAGACGAGCACGAGCGCCATTTCGGGGCAAACTGATTCCAGCTCCAATCGCTCGTGTGCAAAGGCCGGAGCTATTGGGAGGAGATTTTTGCATGTACTCAGTTAAGCCAGCGAACCAATGCTAGTTGAAGAAAACAGAGCTGAAGCTTTGGCGCCCGTAGGTTTTGTTTCCGGTAGGTGGCCCGATGTAGTGGCATACAGGGGCAAGAGGAGAATATGCCACTATTCAGGGCAGTGCCACTATTCGATATATCATATCGGGTTCATGTACATATTATGTTGAGATTATGACAAGAGATTTTGATGCCACTACTACATCGGCAGCTACAATGTCGGAGCACCTACTGCACACACGACACTGGGTCAACACCTACTGTACCGTCGAAAAAAGTTAGCGCACGCACCTGCGAATTTGGCAGCAATCAAGAAATTGATACAGCCTCGAAAAACTCAATATCTAAGAACTGGAGCACCATTTGTGAGCCCGGTTAAGAACCCCTACACTCAAACCAATTATGAACGGCCATTTGCAGCAACACCCTGGGAACACAACCCCCCAGCCTCGACCAAACCTTTTAGAGGTTCTCAAGTGCAGGCCGTACGAAACAACAATATTCCGTGTGCGAGAAAATAGGGAGGCGAACAGCAGCGGGGGCGGGACCTGTCTTCGCAACAACGACGTTTCGGGACCTTACCCGACGAGAACCGCCGGCGCCCCGGGCTCACGGCGCAGCTCGAGGAGACCGGCTGTCGGGGGCGCTTTCTTGCCGCCGCCGCCGCCCCCCCCCCTGCCACCGCCTCCGCCCTTGCCCTTCTTGCCCCCGCCCTTGCCCTTCTTGCTACCCTTCCTGTTGCCCCCACGCTTTCCCGAACCGTCATTGGTTGTTCCGCCGGACTGCACCTGGGGGGGGTGTTGCAAGCAAGGGTGTTTTAGGCTGGTTCGTGCTGTTGGGTGGGAAACAGCAGTATAACCCGAAGACTTTCTGTCTTTGTTTTTGGTTCTCGATATGCGACAGGTGGGATACGGGGGGCGATTGGACGAAACCTTTCACAAGGCAACCGAAGTTACAATTGTATATCCCAATCGTTCGCAAGAACGTCGAAACCCCAAAATGTGCCGAAAGAGAAACGGGCGGCGGAGCCCACGGGGTCGCCGAGGCAAAAAGTAAAAAAGAAAATGGAAGGGCGACACCGCCGCCAGACACATGCTGAGCGCTCATGACATGTACACACATGCATAGCATGAGGACATGACAAAGAAATTTTCGCAATGGACATCCGCCACCGCTGCAAACAAATGGGGAGTTTGATAGTAGTACGTTTCAGGTTACGCACGGGAGGTGTCGCATCTCTATATACGACGCAAAGCCGTCGCCATTCTGTCGCTGTACACATGCATGTTGTCAAAGAAAGCACAGCCGAGCCATCGTCCAAGGAGCAGGCCCAAACAGCAGGCGCGACACACGGCGCTCCTGGCTCCTAGGAGGGCATCAGGGCGGCGGACGATGCATCGAAACTACTTCAGCAATCATCACATTCACCCGCGGCGCGAACCGAACCTGTTTCACCCCGAACGTGGAAGCGAAACTCCGCGCGGCGTCGGCACCACCGAGAATCCCCAGCTCTTCGGCGACGCCCCTCAACACCGATAGCTCCTCTCGAGAAGACGCCGTCCCTGCTTCTCCGCCGCGAAGCTGCTCCAGCGCCATCTCGATCCCCTCGGCGTACAAGATCTGCGCGTTCGCCTGTCGATTGCGGCGAATGCGGACAATAAACACATGCAACTAAATATACCACACTGCCTGTTGGGCAATATAACGACCATTCGGATACTAACGTGATCGTCTCAAAGGTCCCTATATTTCCGGACAGAGTCGTTTATGGCTGTATCTTGAACGGGCGTTCTCTCTTTGAATGTGTGCGTATTCTCTTAGAAATAAGTATGCAAATATTGCATGAGAGAGGTGGATGACCACGCGTTCTTCGAACCGGAGCAGTGGTGGACGAAGGGCCGGGGTCTTGGTCGGGAGTTTCTTGCGCCTCCGAGAAGTTTGAGGTTTTACGCCGTGGGCCGCTACTCGTCGCTCTACGAGACAACGGGGCCTCGGTTTGAAGGATGATGGCGGTGCAAGGCAAAGCTGGTCATGGTGCACTAGGCCGGGCGCAAGACCGTGCACCCAGCACTTATAATATGAGGAACGAGGTATCTGGGGCATTCCATCTGTCTGTGTGGCGCGATTTCACCGACCTTGCAGGGCAACAGGCCTTATTCTGCGGCCTTATACAGGGACTACTTCCGTTCAACACGGACCACTACTGATGTTTGGGCAGTCTTGGAATCAGGGTTCTTCAAGGAGGCGGTGAAGGAGCCCAAGGCCGTCGAGGCTTGGTGAAAGACAGAGCCCCGCGCAGGCGAGCTCTCACCCGGTCCAGAAGCTCTTTGACGACAGCCGCGCTCCGCTTGAGCTTCTTGCCGAGCTTGAAGGCCTCCTGCGCCACGTCTATCGGGGTCTTCTCTGGCGTCGACAGCCGACGCGAGTAACGGAGAGACAGATACCATACGGAGTCCCGGGATTCGAGTTAGCAAAGACTGAGTAGGCAGTGGGGGGAGAGGAGGTGGGGGCAAACAGCTTGCGCAGACAACACACGCCGCGCGCACCCACACTCTTGACAACAGAAAAACTGACTACACGACGCAAATTGTGGAGCATGTTTTCGATAAGTTCTCGCAAGAATTTCGCCATAGCATAGTTCCACTACTTGTAGTGCTCGGTATCTGAACCATTCGACGCCTTATTAAATTTTCCGTTGGCGAGCGGTGAGTGTGGACGGAGGCCTTTCGCCTTGGCAAAACGAAAAACAAAACACATGAGAGAAAAAATGGTCTAAATTATTCCCTTATCCCCAACGACGTCTCGGTGCCGCCCTCACTCGCGAAATAAGGAGGAGGGGGGTGTTTCCAGGCTTCCGACCTCGGGGTATCTCGATGGACACAGGCTCCCCGGTGTCGAAGTCTTCGCAGTGCACGTGCGTCTGCCCGTACTCCCATGCGTACCCGTACGTCATCAGCAAGTCCCCTCGCCGGTTCAGCTCGGACACCTGGCACGCGAGTTCGGCATTGTTGCTGTTTCTGTTCTTTGATTTCAAGAGATGTGTGCACCTTGTAGTTAGCCTGTGACCACGGAAGGAGTCCGGTGGACCAATTGGATCGTAGGAAGGTAATTAGTGGAGACCGGAACGTTTTCGTGATGTGAACACCACAACAACGACAAAAATAACAAGAACAACAGAAACGACAACAAACGGCATGAGTGGTGCCGCCGTCGGCGTGGAATGTTGCGAGGAACCAGTTTTTGGTTTTGGAATGAGGGGTTTTGATGGGGAAATTACACTTGTAGCAAATTGTCAAATGGAACAGAATTGCACGGCCACAAACGAAAACAAAAAGTGAGACCCCGATTGCTCGTGTGAGGTGACACCGTGATACCTGCGCCCAGGCTTTAAAGGGACTGGGTGACATTTTTCAAAAAGGAAAAAACGTTCACACTCGTCCACCCCAAGTTCATACACAGGCGTTCTTGCCCACAAGAGCAAAAATCCTTGAAGATGAACAAGACCCCCAAAGAGAACAACCCACAAACGGAAGTTTCTAGGTTACGGCTACCTTGTTCTCTTGCGCGGCCGCCAGCTGGTCTTCGAACTCCGCCGCGCGCTCCCTGAGCTTGGCCAGCGTCGCCGTCACCCTCGAGAGGCACCTCCGCTTGAGGCCGTCGAACTCCTCGTTGCTCTGGGTGCCCCTGTAGTACTTCTCCATGACCTTCTCGAGCCTGGCCAGGCCAAACACCTTGCTCCTGCCGCCCTGTTCTGCCGCGGCAGCATCGGAAGCCCCGTCATCGTCTCCATCTTGTTCTCCAAGCGTGGTGGGGTAGTAGGACGCACCGTCCTCCGAAATCCACGGCTTCGTCGGCACGTTCGACGCCGCGTCGTCATCCGGCTCATTACCATCTGCCATCCCTGCCGCGCCGGCGGCGGCGTCCCCCCCGTCCCCGATGACCCTTAGCCACCGCTTCCAGGGGCCGTCGAAAAGCGCGCTCCACTGCTCCGGGGACACCTCCCCGACCTTCGTCGCCGCCGTTAGCCCCGGGACGCGAGAGGCCATGACGGTGACCAGCATGGGACTGAGGCCCTGGTACACGGCCACGAGGGCCTTCTTGAGCTGCTGCGTGGGGACCCTGCCGACCGCCTCGACGAAGTCTTCGAACGGCTCCTCCGGGCGGGGGCGCCGCCGCGCCGTCATGGCCGGGGGAAGCACGTAGGCCTGGCCTGCGAGCGGCGGCAGGACGGACAGGTCAGCTAGTCTCTCTGTCTTTCTGTCTGTCTCTGTCTCTGTCTTTGTCTGTCTCTGACGCTTTCTCCCTCCCCATCTCTCTCTCTCTCTCTCTCTCTCTCTCTCTCTCT